GTGTGTGTGTGTGTGTGTGTGTTGTTTTTGTTTTGTTTTTTGTGTTGTTTTTGGGGGGATAAGGGGCTAAAAACGGAGGGGGTGCATGGGGAACGAAGGTCAACGTTAAATGGCATAGCCTGCGCTAAGCAAAAGGATACATTACGTAGACCATCGAACCAATAAATAAAGGAGCAGATTTTTTAAAAACAACAAACCAGACACACACAAAACTACAATTAACTGGATATAGAACATGTTGAATCATGTGCACTCATTATCCGAACACACTTGTTCAAACAGGCGGATGAAATGTGACACATTTTACTCGCTCACCTAATTCCCACACCTGACATTGAAGACGATGTCTGCCAAGCGAATGGTGTGTATTCATTTTAAAAAACGCTCACTGTCTGACTGTCTAGTGGCGAATACTAACGAAGGAATTTATATATCATTGCAATGACAGCCTCAAAGAGTCGGAAAGCTAATTATAGAAAATCTCGCAATTTTCATGTTAACCATTTTACCAACATGTACAAAAATAAAATACTCAGAAAAAGATAGCTGTAAAACACTTCGTATTGTCTTTTTTCGTCACTGCAAGGCTGTGAAGGGAAAGGAGAGAGGCAATGTAGGATCATGCAATTGCGTAAGTAGGACTACTCTCCTTTTTTGATGAATGAATCCAATGTGTCATTGCGAGAAAGCGTTGAATAAATGACTAGGCACAAACATTACTAACACATGCTCAGCAAGCAGTGTGGGATTTGGCATGAATGAACGTACATGATTTAGGCAGTGACGGTGGGGGGGGGGGGTTTAATGTAGGTGTTTTAGGCCGCTATCGAGACCGAGACGGATACAACATCACAGCAGAAAGACCGAGATACTCTACAAAATCCTCCTCACTTGGGAATCGCACTCGGGTCTCCTGCGTGCGACAGAGAAGCACCTTACCGACTACACCACAAATGCCGGTTTGACGGAATTCATACAGCAACAGGAAACTCAAAAACCACACCGATTGGCTAAAAGGGACAACTGTAACATATACAAGCACCTCAAATACAGTTTACTAGGGTGCATACGAGATGGGTTTTCCTGGGAGAAGAAAGCATTATTCGCATTTGGACATGATTTCCAAGAAAACGAAAGTCTGTTGGTGGGGGTTAAGGTAAGGAGGGAGGAGGTTGGTTGCAACCTTTGGATTAACATCCGTCTATGGTAGTACGTAGTGGGAAACCCCGTAAATACCTCTAGACTAAATTTTTCAAACCAACAAAACGAACGAAAACAACACCGCTGCCAGAATGCCGATCCGGATGTCCCGTGAACTGGAGAAAAAAAAAAAACCCAACTCCTTCGAGACCGGTAAAACCTATAACATTCCCGGACCTCTTTCCGGTCGCCTGCTCCGTAGTGGGTACTCTTGCTGAGAGCGACTTGATGCCGAAAACATCAGCACAGTTTCGACATTAATTATCGGAAATCTAAAACAAGGCAAAAAGTTCATGGATGGACGGTCGGATTTGAGTTTTAACTCTACACTACCGGCAACAGAAGGGCGCCAAAGCCCAGTTGATATATTGCTGGATTGCGATTGCGATTGCCATGCCCACAACCCTGGTCAAAATGAGAGCTGTACTCATTCGATTTTACTATTCAACATTCGCAGCTATTCGAAGCGTGGCAGAGCCATTCGAAAGCCGTGTGATTTTTCCGAATGATAGATTTTGGTCCCACTTTTCTCAACCCGTTGTTAAATTAGAGCATAGTTTAAGATCATTGAGGTAAATAGGACAACAGCTTGTAAGCCCAGTTAATGATTATGAGACGGCGTCATGAGTGGAGCCATTACAAAATGCGTATAAGAAGTAGATTTATTCAGTACTATTCAATAACCACTAGGTACGACACGAATAGTGTTGAAGGGCACATGACTTTTGAAGTGCAGCAGATGCTTTTGCAAGAAATTAATAGCAGGCCCCTATTCGAAATTCGAAGTGTTATGAATGGTGTTGTGACACCATTGTATCGCACCCCGTGAGTGCTGTCGTGCACTTAGTCAATAGCGCTGTGAGTGTCAAATTAAATGCTGTTGGTGGACTCAAAATATGTCAGGGGAAAAAACAAAAACATTCCCACAAAGTTTTTAAATAGCGCGAACAATTGCTTCAGGCTTCTAAGCATCGATGACTTTTCGTTTCTTCAAAATCGCACAGGACTAGACCTAGTGTAAATCCCCTATGGGGCTTTCAAAACCTTTGATTTCTCGACGAGTTTTCAAAGTTCTCCTCCCATTTGGTTAGGCCCTGTCGGCCATTTTGTCTTATAGTCTGTAATGGCATTATAGTGTTGAAAATGCTGTGAAATCCATACTACACCATGCTGGACAAAATGGACCCCGCTAATGTCTATCATTTTCAACTCTCAAGGTGAAACCGGATACTCCGCCGGTTTTGGAGAGTCACTGGTCTGGGTACGATCAATAGAACCAAACTGGGGTGAAAAGGCTATAAAACCCAAGCATCGAAACTTAGCGTCAGCAAAGACCTAGGAACATAAAAAGGTTGGGCTCCCGGCTTGAAGAGGAAAGTTAAGTGTAATCCACGCCATTTAGAACGGTTGACAAGAGACCAAAAAACTGACGTCTGTGTTGTTACGGTCAGGATCTTCTCCTTGTGTTCAGGTGACAAGACTCTTCACTCCTTAGCTGAGATTTTCTATTTCATCTTATATCTCGGAAAGATTTCTTCCCGTCATGTCTCCTTTTCTTTTTTTTGTTGTTTGTTTTGTTTTGTTTTGTTTTATTTCTTTTGTTTCTTTTGTTTCTTGTTGAGGGGGGGGGCTCGGCCAGGAGGGATGAAGTATATTACAGTCAAGGTTTGCCATTCTCCTGAAAGTGAAAGATCTAAATTGTGTTGAAGGCGTATATAAAACATTAAGAGTCATAAGTATTTCAAATATACACCTACTTCATTTTCAGGTCCATTAGTTCCCCGGAAACAGACTACAAAGTCCGATCCCCTAAAAATGAGGAGTGTTGGGCAAAGTGAATTGTGAAATCCTATTAATTATCCAAACATTGAAGATGCGCTGTCAATTAAAATCTAGGTGCACAAAGGTGCGGTTTCCGCGTTTGTAGAAATCCACAGTCCGTTGGACGTAACGAGATGGAAGTTAAATTGACTGTCAAACGTTATATTTGAAACATTCGGGATGCATCGTCATTTAATTTGATGGCCAGTGTAAGAGTAGGTCGAGTTTCAACGCGTAAAGGAGGTTTGCATGGGGTTG